ATCTGGAGAGCACCACAACCAAGTATGTGACACCCCAGGGTCATCCCAACCAACCAAGGGAAAGGAGAAAATCAAGTTTTAAAAAAATCTGAAATGTTTATAATGCACATTGCAGATAAATCTTTTTTATGTTAAAATAAATAGAACAGCAAGAAAAATACCCACAGTAAGAAATTCAACATCTCTCTCACTAATGAATAAAAAGTAAACATAAAATCAATTAGCACTAAAAGGTCTTGAAGAATACCATCAAACTACTAGCCCTAATTGAGTTTTACAGAGCTTCCTATACCAAGATATCGGTAAACAATTTTTTTAAAAAAGTGTGCTAGTAACATTTACCAAGACAGACCAAATTCTGTTCCCAAAAATAAGAATAAGTTTTGAAGAACTTAAGACCTATGAAGTTATGTTTTCTGGACCCTATATAATTAAATAAGAATCAGGACAATATCTGAAAAATTCTCAAATATTTGGAAACTAGAGACATATGTCTATATGATTCAAAGTTAAAGAATAAAAATCATTATTTTGATCTGAGTGAAAATAAAAATGTACCAAAATTTAAGGAAAATAGATAAATCAGGATATGAAAGGAAAATTACAGCTCTAAAATGCTTTAGAAAAAGAAGAAAAGTTATAAATGAATGACCTCATTTTTCAACTTAGGAAACAAAAATATTAGAGCAAGTTAAACTTGTAAAGGAAATAAAGATGAGTACAGAAATCAATGTAATAGAGAAACAAAAAATAATAAAGAAAAAAAATCAATGAAACCAAACCAAAGTTGGTTCTTGGAAAACATCAGTAAAAAAGATATAAACTATATATATACATATATATATATACATTTGCAATATCCAGAATCAAAAGAATGGCATGCCTTAAGTTTTATAGATAACCAATAGGAAAATTAGAAACTATGCCAACAAATACAGCATCCTAAACAAAAGAGACAAATCTCTTGAAGCTGCTAGAAATCCATAACCTATTGAGAAAGAAAAATAATACTAAAATGCTTATACCACCTGTTTCAATACTTATTTATTATAAAGCCATACAATTAAGTCATGAGGGCTGGGCATAAAGACTAACAATTATACTATAACTGTAACCCCACAGAATTATGGCAAATTGCTTTTTAACACAGAAGTACAGGCAATCAACAGAGAAGAATAAAAATTTTAATTGTGCTACAAAAAATCATTTAAGCTTTATATGTAAGGAAACTGATCTTCATACAATGTATAAATCTGTTGTGTAACCAAATGTAGGATACAAAACTATAAAACTTTTAGAAGAAAACAAAAAAATATCTGTGACCTTGGGTTACAAAAATATTTTCAGATATAGTACCAATAGTGCAATTCAAGAAAGAATTGTTAAGGATGGAGTTTATCAAAAGCAGTAACTTCTGCTGAAGACACTGTAAGGGAATGAAAAGATAAGCCACAGGTTCAGAGAAAATATTTGCAGATCCTACACCTAATAAAGCACATGTACCTACAATAAAGAACCCTTAAGTTCTAAAATAAAAAACTCAACAGATTAAAAAAAAAAACCCTGTTTGTTTTTAGGCCATCCCAATGATGTTAATGGCTACTCCCAACTCAGTGACTGGGGAATCATGCAGTGCAGGAGATCAACCAGGAACTCCTACATACAAAGCACACTCTCTGAGCTATCTCCCTGGCCCATAACCAAAGATTTAAATAAATTCTTCATATAAGAAAATTTTTTAAAAAATATATAAATGGCATATGAAAATGGTCAACATCAACATCATTAGTCTTTGCAAAGTAAAGTAAAGGCCCTCCCATTGATCATCGATTTGCTCGAGCGGGCCCAGTAACGTCTCCATTGGAGACTTTGTTGTTACTGTGTCTGGCATATCGAATACTCTCGGTAGCTTGCCGGGCTCTCCGAGAGGGGCGGAGGAATCGAACTCGGGTCGGCCATGTTGGCTGCATGCAAGGCAGACGCCTACCCGCTGTGCTATCGCTCCAGCTCCAAGTCTTTGCAAAAATGCAAACTAATTGCTATAAAAGCATGCCACTATATACTATGTATATATATTCTGTCAACATATATCCTATTCTAGAAAATAAATGCAGTCATTACAATGACGAACTAGTATGCAGACAATTAACAATTGTCATGCCAAATTAGTATGCAAGACTTAACAATTGTCATGCCATCACTAAACGGAATACTGTAGCACTACCATTGTTTATCAATTTGCTCAAGTGGGCACCAGTAATGTCTCCATTGTGAGACTTGTTACTGTTTTTGGCATATTGAATACACCACGGGGACCTTGCAATGCTCTGCAGTGCGGGCAGAATACTCTTGGTAGCTTGCCAGGCTCTCCGAGAGGGACGGGGAGGAATCGAACCCGGGTCAGCCCTGTGCAAGGCAAACGCTCTACCTGGTGTGCTATCGCTCCACCTATAAACTTACATATTTATAGTCTTGTAATACACAACTATAAAATAAGGGCCAGAGAGATAGTACAGGAGTTAAGGCATCTGTCTTGCATATGACTGATCCTGTCTCTTCCTCACCCCCCACCCTCAGCCCTACCAGGAGAGATCCCTAAGTAAAGAGCCACAAATAACCGTGACGCACATCTGGATATAGCCCCAAGACCCCACCCCCAAATAAAATAAACAGCAGTTGTTTTCACTTAATAGGCATTTGTTTTGCTTTTCACTTAATAGGCATTTGTTTTGCTTTTACACCCAGCCAGAGACCATAACTTGGGTGTCAGGGACTGGACCCAAGTCAGTCACGTGCAAGACAAATATCTTACCCATTGTACTACCTTTCAAGTCCATAATAAGTATGCTACTTGGATCAATTTTTTTTTCATTAAGGAAGGAAGAAAAGAAGAAAAAAAGAAAAATATTTTGAGAGAAGAGAAGAGACAAAGGGGAAAAAAGAAACACTTCTCTATAGAAACCACTTCAGTGTGGTAACAAAACTCAAGGCCAGTTCCCCAAACCCTATTAAAACTGTATGAATTATTTTCTTTTTTCTGAATCACTATTTTTCTCTCTATTGGATCACTGCCATCAACATAAAAACAAGCCAGAATTTTATCCATCATAAAAAAAAATCAAGCACAAAAACAAATCTCGAACACACTTTTGTTGCCATTTAATCTACTCACTCACCCTTTCTGATTTCTATTCCCGCCTTTGGCAAAATTCCTTCAGTGGTTTCTATAATTCCTCTCCTTCATTCTCTATTAAATCTGTCCCGTATAGATTTCATTTCCAGCATTACACCAAGCCATCTAAGCAGGGCCAGTCAACTTTAACAGCTAGTAGTTAATTATCAGGCTTTATCTCACTCAATTTCTTGTTCACTTATTGAAAAACTCTCTTACTCTGGCTTTCAGGATAACTCTGGCTCCTGGCTTTCTCCCTATCTTCTCCTCATCTCCATACCTCTAAAACTTAATGTACTACAGTACTTAGTCCTTGAAACATTTTTTGTTTTGTTTTGTTTGAAGGGGATAGGCACAACTGTTGTGATCAGGGCTTACTCCTGGCTCTGTGCTCAGGGATCATTACTGGAGGAGCTCAGGGGACCATATCGGGTGTTAGGGATAAAATCCTGGCCAGTCATGTGCAAGGCAAGTGCCTTATTCACTGTTCTCTGGCCCCAGGCACTTTTTATTTTATTCTTATCTGTAATCACTGTTAGTAATTTCATATTTAAGTGATACATATAGGAAAATTAGAAGCAACTAGTCCCAAGAGCCTATAATATAGTAGTAACATAGTACTGTAGGCTTGTTTCAAAATTATTTTTATAACAATCATCTAAAGACCCCATAAGGTTCTTACAACTAATACTATTTTAAACAGCAGTTTCTTCCTTAATATGGTTGTGAACATAAAATTAGATTTTAATACATGTATTTAATGAATTTACAATTTGTTAAGGACCTCACAAATTCATTCCAACGTAAAACATATTAAAATTCATGTTCAAGTGATGAAAGGTCAATAATGTCATTTTGTACAGAAGGAACTTACATTTTTAATAATAATGAATGAAACAATGTTCTTTACATACATATCTACTGAGACATGCTTTATTTAATTTACTTCTAAGCTTAGATCGACAAAAATGAATTCTGTGAAATTAACTGATTTGCTATATATGAAGCACATAATTGTAGACTGCTTCTATCACAATAAAAGATTTTTACTATCAAGAAGAATGCATTTATCATTGAATACACACTAGTGACACATGACCCCTTTCCTCCCTCTACGATTCCCACTGCAAAGGATGTAGTATTTATCACTTGCTGGCCCCATGAAAATGTAAGAAGCATATCCACTAGAGTAAGAATCTTTAAAGTGAACCCCAGGCTCTCTGAAGACTCACACTAACTGTCAGTATTGCTAGTTCTGGGAATAAAAAAGGTGTACCTTCCCTCTTACTACCACATACATGAAGAGATGTCTGTTCAGATTCTTAAGCAGTTTCACCTCCAAGATAAAGTCTGACATATTCTATCCTACCCCTCCAATTTCTCATTATACAATTTCTTTTTTTCTTATGAAGCTCCTGGAAGTCTTTCTCCTTTGTTGTCAAAACCATCAATATATATTTGGCATTGCTTTTCTTTGTACCTCACTAGCATTTGGGATTCTGAGTCAGATCAAAACTGCCCCAAATCACAAGGCCTTATCCCGGGTTTCAATAGAATAGTCATGTCAGAAATACAATGCATTATATTCTCTAATCACACCCTCAACATCTGCTTCTGTCTTTCCTTTCAATTCCCCATAGTACATGTAAAAGTCAGTACTCAACAACTTTGTTAAATTCCAGATCTACACTCTTCTCTACATAAATCTATTAGCAGGTCTTGAGTTATCATCTTAATCACTTGTACAAACCACTCTAACATTCTCTAAAAAGATAAAAGTTGAGAAAACCTAAAACCACTAATTTGGTTTACTTCTTCTTTTTTTAAAAGTGCCTCCTGTGCCTTTAAGAGACAGCCTGGTGCTCAGTATGGCCCTCTTAAATGGAGAAGGAGATTGCTGTGTATCCCCTCAGATTCTGCAGTTAGAGCTATTATGTACAGCAGGCAGACAAAGCAGAGTCCAGGACCAGTACATTTCTTTTGTTGTTAGGATGTTGGTGATGGGGGTGCACCCCACTGTACTTGAGTGTCTGGGAGTCAGTCACAGCAGTGCTTGCCGACTAGGCAATGATAGCAATTGAATCTGGGCTTCCCATACAAAGCATGAGCTTAAGCCTGTTAAAGACTTTTCTTAGATGTTTCAGAGACTGAAGTTGCAGGATCCATTACCACTCAAATTGATACTGAAGGACCAAACCAGTCACAGAACAAATGGTGGATAAAGAAAATATAAGTGATCTAAATGATTCAGATGCCCCACAAGACAACCGTAGGTATTAGGAGTGTTTTTGCAAGGAGGGCATTGGTGCCACACCAACGAACATATGGGACTACTCCCAACTCTATGGCTGGTGGCCATTCCAGTAGTGACAAGGAGACCGTGAGGTGCCAGGGACTGAACCAGGGGTCAGAAGCACACAACGCAAGCACCTATACTATCGCTCTGACCCACGTAACTTCAACAACCTGCCGATGAGTATCAGAGCAGTGGGTAGGGCACTTGTCTTTCACATGGTCAACCCATGTCTGATTCCCAGCACTCTGAATGGTACCCCAAGCCTGCCAGGAGTGATTCCTGAGTACAGAACCAGGAATAAGTCTTGAGCACTGCTGCCTCAAGGAGAGGCCCCCAAACCAATTCCCCCCTCCCAAAAAAGAACACTAACAAGTTGCTAGGAGTATGTACTAGTTTTAAGGTAAGAATCTTCTAGGGGCCTTACTCTACACTTTTTTTTTGGATATTACAGCTCATCAGATTCTCGGTAAAGATCAGAGAAAAGCTGTTGTTCAAATTGGTAGACATGAAAGTAGATAAAAGATCAAATATGACGGTCTCTCAGTATCTGTATTGCAAGCCATAATACCCCAAAGTAGATAGAGAGTAAGAGAGAAATTGTCTTCGTAGAGGCAGGGGGAGTTGGGGGAGGTGGGGAGAGTGTGGGCAATACCGGGGACATTGGTGATGAAAAATATACACTGGTGGAGGGATGGGTATTTAATCACTGTAGGACTGAAATGCAAACATGAAAGCTTTGTAACTATCAATAAGAAAAAAAGAAGAAAAAACAAATTGGCAAACATAATTATGAGTAGGAGAATTTCTCAGGACTAAAGATTAAAGCATCATATGACAAAGGGGCAAATTCTCCAGAAAGACATAACCATCTCTAATTCAAATATACCTAATAACAGTATCACACTATGTGAGGCAAAATCTAAATAGTCCTCAAGGGAAAATAGATGAATTCACTATTACATAGACTTCAACTGTACTCAATCAGGAAGTGACAGATTGAATAGGCAGAAAATTAGTAACGATAGGGTTGAAATGAACCCCATCATCAATCAATTGGATCTAATTGACACTTATATAGTACTTCACCAAACAACAGAAAAACACATTCTTTTCAAGTTCACAAAGACTACTCATCAAAAGTCACATCTCCTCCCCTCCCCCCAAATTGAAAGAACAGATATCAGACAATGTATGCTCTTAGACCACAATAAAATTAAACTAGAAAGGAAAAAAATAGAAAAATTGCTTAAAAGAGTCATAAAATAACTAGAGATTAAACACTACAATTCCAAATAATACATGGGTCAATGTCTAAAAAAATTAAATATTTTGAAATAAATGGGAATACAATTTGGACTAGAGAAATACCTTGAGTTAAGGTGCTGGACTTGCACATAGTGTCCCTGATTTGATTCCTAGCAACACCTAACTAACTTCTGAGCACAAAGTCAGGAGTAGCCACTGAGAACTGCCAGATGTAGCTCAACCCCCCACAACCCCCACCGCAAATACAACTTGTCAAAATGTGAGGAGCCCATCAAAAAGAAGTTCTTAGTGAAAACTTTGTGACACTGAATGCATATAGTAGGAAAAATGGTATCTCTACATAATCAATTAATCCCAGCTCCAACCTAAGGATACTACAGAGGAGCAGGACTTTTAAAAGTCAGATCTGAATCTAGTTGAAAATAATCAATAAAACCAAAAGAGAAATTATCAACATAATTTGAATTTTATTCATGCACAATGATGTATCAAGATATAACTGTTTTTTTAAAGTGCTAGTTATCAGTCTTCTAAAATATAAAATGCTTCGGTTTCTCCTTTTGTAAAAAAAATTAATACTGTTTCTCCCTTTTTTAATTAACCTTTCTATAATTCTCTGGCATGCTAAAAATGTCACAAGACAGGAAATAAAGCTACCTTTCATACCATCATGTGAAAAAGATCAGATTTCATTTCGATAATGAACCAAATAAACCATTCCTTGGTGTGGAAGCTTGTTTTTTTTTTTCCCATATAATCTAGTCAATACAAAAACATTTAACTTGTTATAGTAGGCTTCAGCAACTGTTATTCCAAAGAAATAATGACAAGAATATCTTTCTTTTTAATTGACAAACCATGGAATAAAAAGTTATTCAGTATTATGTTTCAGGCATAAACTGTTCTAACACCAATCCCTTTACCAGTTTCCACTTCCCTCCACCATGTTCCCAGTTCAATGTCTCAATGTCCACCAATGTCTCCCATCCCCTAGACTGCCTCTATGGCAGCCTATACTGGGTCTTTCTTTCTTTCTTTCTTTCTTTCTTTCTTTCTTTCTTTCTTTCTTTCTTTTCTCTCTCTCTCTCTCTCTCTCTTTCTCTCTTTCTTTCTTTCTTTCTTTCTGGGTCACAATCGGTGATGCACAGGGGTTACTCCTGGGTCATCACGATCAGGATCATGACCATCCTGTTGTTCGTCGATTGCCTCGAGCAGGCCCCAGTAATGTCTCCTTCGTCCTAGCCCTGAGATTTTTTAAAAAGTGCCATATTCAAGGCTCTTTCAGGCTTAGGAGAATGAGAACCATCACTGTTACTGATATTTGGCATATTGGGTACGCCACGGGGAGTTTGCCAGACTCTGCCGTGTGGGCAGGTTACATTCGGTAGCCTGCCAGTTTGCACACACACACATGTACAGGTAGTCTGACTGTACATGTGTGTGTGTATCCTTTTTTTTTTTTTTTGAGAGATATCTATTCCAGATCTATTTCTCAGGAGTGGGTGGGACTTTCTCCAGCAGTGCTTGGAGTTACCAAGGCTGTACACAGTAGTTCTTGGGAAGCCACATGGTTTCCAGGGGAATCAAAATTGGGCTTGCACACACCAGGCATGTACTCCAGCCCTTTGACCTATTTCCTAGCTATTTTAGTTCTTTGCTCATTTTAAAATCAGGGTTTTAGGGGCTGGAGAGATAGTATAGTGAGTAAGGCACTTGTTTTGTATGCAGCTGACCAAAGTTTGATTCTTATCTCATTCTTACTTTGGACAAACCCAGCAGGTTACCGAATGTAACCTGCCGACATGGCAGAGTCTGGCAAACTCCCCGTGGCGTACCCAATATGCCAAATACCAGTAACAATGATGGGTCTCATTCTCCTAAAACTGAAAGAGCCTTGAATATGGCACTTTTTAAAAATCTCAGGGCTAGGATGAATGAGAAGTTACTGGGGCCTGCTCGAGGCAATTGACGAACAACAAGATGGTCCTGATTGTGATGTATTTGGTCCACACCCAGCAATGCTCAGAGGTTATTCCTGACTTTGCACTCAGGAATCACTCCTGGAGGTACTCCTGGGTCATGCACTCAAGAATTATTCCTGGCAGTGCTTGAGGGACCATATGGGATGCTGGGAATTGAACCCAGGTCAGCTGCATGCAAGTCAAACACCCTACTCGCTGTGGTATCACTCTGGCCCAGCCTATACTAATACAAAATACAGCATTACTGCCACCAACACCCAATAGGTGTCACCATATCAAATCTATCTCCTAAAAAAAGTGGTATCTTGGCAACACAGAATAATAGAAAACAATGGAAATTCAAAATCTGTATTCAAATTCCACCTTTTATAATTTTTATAACTATGTGGCCCTATAAAAATTACAAAATCCTTTAGATTCAGTTTGTAAGTACTAAAAGTACAATTTCTATTAGTTTACACACACACACACACACACACACACACACACAAAAAGGATGCCTTACTACAAAAATATTAGAGTGTCTCTTGGAATCAAACCTCAGGACCATGGACAAAGACATAAATACAGTGAAGACTTCTTTTGGTGTTTGCTACTCTTCCAGCACTTTCTTTCCATGCTTACCTTATTCACATGGCAAGAAACAAGTCTGTAAGTTTTATATCTTGTAGTTTCAGCAACCTGAAACTAGTAAACACACTGAGTTCGATTTTGGCAAGTGAATGTCCAGGAAAAGCTCAAGTGTCTGGTTTGCTGATAGCATCTAGAACTGCACTAATATATTAACAGAAGTAAGTGTTGCGACTGATTTTCTGTGCCCCCTTCAGCCCAGAGTGACCTTTAAAAAAGACAAATCTGGGGGCCCAGAAGATGGCCTTTAAAACACCTTTCCAGTAAGTGTGAAGAGACCAAGTTAAAACCCTGACAAGGCCACATCTCCAGGCAACTTGTTATCCACACGGTTTGTAGTCCCCAATGAGGAAAATGGGTAATAACTATGGCAGTTCTGACTGAGCAGGAAGCTAAAACCCCTTCATGATCTTACCTAATACACTTAAAAATTAAGGGGCTGGAGAGATAGTAGAGTGGGTAGGGCGCTTGCCTTACACATGGCCAACACGGGTTTCAAGTAATTACCAAGTGCAGAGCCAGGAATTCCCCTGAGCATTACTGTGTCTCCCCTCCTTCCAAAAAACACGAAAATTAATTTACAGCCATGTTAAACCAAGATTTATGCAAAATTTGTAGTACCTGACTCCTATGTATACCCACAATCAATTATCAAGTAACAATCCCTTTTGCTCACTTTATTGCTGAGATTTATCAGCTCAGGTGTGTTCCTTGGGGCTTATCAGGTTCCTTTTCACCTCAAAACTGCTTTACATGTATTCTTTGCATTAGGTTCCCAGTTCTTTTCCTTTACAA